AGACATGGTAGGTGAACCTCCTCTCCTCTCTCCTCTCTCTCTCTCCTCTCGCTTCCTCTCTCTCTCTCTCCACACCACGGTGAACTTCACTCAATCATATCTCTCTCTCTCTCTCTCTCTAGTGTAGACATAGTAGCAAGCGACATGTGTAGCATTGGTGCCAACAAGGCCACAAGCTGGCAACATCCAGTGTGCGGCCTGTGTGTAACCCAAACTTGGAATCTGCCACAATCTCAAAGATTGGGCAGTGACATTGTGCTGGCCGCCAACTGCGGATTTCCCTAGTTTGCCTGACCAATCTCAAGAATTGGGCAAACTGAATACAGTCGTGATCAACAACCGTCATAGCTGAGTGTGTGGTGTGCGTGTGCAACTAGGAAGAGATTTATCTCATATTTACTCAATATTATATAATTCATTAATATTTATACAAAGGTGCGCAAACACATGAGAAAGAGAGCGTAGACGAGTATACGACCTTATGATATAACATTTGAAATCCTAATAATCATATGTTTGTGCAAGCTCTGTTTACCTCTGTTTGCCTAATCTCAAGATTGGTTGCCCAAACTGCAGATGCGCTGAAATTCCAAGTTTGTGCAAGATTCCAAGTTTGGGCACAACACGCCCACCTATGTAAATCTCTAGCAAATTGTGACACAATGTGTTGCCACCTAGCAAGTGGTTGCTTACTATATGTAATTTTGTAGATGGATTGCATGTTGGTATCATCATGTCATCATTATAACATGCATATAATTCTGGCAACCACAATATCTCACTCGTCAACTACAACACTACCCTAGTTAGATGGTATGTGGCTACTCTGCCAGTCAGTTTACAGTTAAGTTACTGCTCTACTTCTTTCTGCATAGCTCGCTGAGACCACATGTGAAGGACATTTACAGGAGACAGAGATCGATGAACTCCAAGCACTCATAAACACAAAAACGCGAACCAAGAAAAGGTGATGCCAGCGTTAACAAGTACGAGGTCGCCTTGTTCAATGTTTGGTTTCTGTTCTTGTGCTGCCAATTTCATGTCGTAGAAATTAAAGTAAAATTGTTTTTATTTATTATAAAACAACTGTTTTTTTAAAAGTAGCACTTGTAGCCAATATTTCGTCAGTTTCCTAAATGAGTGATGTATCCTCATGGTAAATATGACAAAATAAATAATTCTATCTCTTATATTTTGTATATCATCACATGTACCTGCATAATTTTGTGTACATTAGTCGCATTCAATGTGTTCATGTAAGTCTACTAACTTGTATAAAACCTGAACAAGATGCATCTGTAACATAGACTAATATACAATTTGTTTATATAATTTACAATGTATTATTTTAAGCAACTGGAGATATGGTTAGAAGCAGAGGAGTAAAACAAATACATAATTCTTGTCTAAGATGTATTTACCAAAGTTTAGACATTCCAGTCATATACAATGTCAACAAGCATTGATTATATCATGTATATAGTGCATGTGCAATGTAAACAAGAGTAAAACTGTTGACTTACTGAACAGGTTATATTAATGATGTTACTTTCGTTGATCATTTAAAATTTGAGAACAAGATTGCACAGCCAGCCAGACAGACAAACCATCATCATATTAGTAACTAATATAATTTCATGAACATAATATAAATATAAGCACACTAGGGTGGCTGATCCATGCTGCAGAAACTAGTTTTTGTAGCTTCTCAGTATTTTGGTCTCTTGTATTGTGGGTTGTCTTTCTCTTCTGCAGTTCTTTTCTTTATAATCTGTGGTAAGTACAAGTAAAAATGGTTTATTTGGTTACTACTTACTAGTACACAATGATAGATATTAGACAGTCGCATAAATAATGCCACAAAACGTCGCACCTTAGACAACATCAACAGTCGTGACCAGCTGTTGATTGTGCTGTTAACTGCAGTCACACGTGTCAGTAGGACCTCATACATGACTCTATATATAGCCGAGGTTTGCTAGCTATCACTCACGTTGCTGATCTTCTGCCACTGCTGATCTAGCTTCTGCTTCTCTGTCTTCTCACTAAAGTTACGTCTTGTTTTTCGTCCCTCCGACATCTTCACTCCAAACTGGAATGCAGCCCTGTACAGACAAATGACACGATGCAAACTGTTAGCCTGATGCGTGAGAACAGAGCTACTAGACTAGAGAGACCATGAGTATAGGGCCAACACGTACCAGTACATTGAGTATAGGGCCAAGGACACACCAGTACATAGGGCCAATACACACAAGTAAATTGAGTATAGGGCCAACACACACCAGTACATTGAGTATAGGGCCAACACACACCAGTACATTGAGTATAGGGCCAACACACACCAGTACATTGAGTATACGGCCAACACACACCAGTACATTGAGTATAGGGCCTACACACACAAGTATATTGAGTATAGGGCCAACACACACCAGTACATTGAGTATAGGGCCAACACACACCAATACATTGAGTATAGGGCCAACACACACCAGTACATTAAGTATAGGGCCAGGGACACGAGGAGCACATCACCATAATAGGGCATATCATGCTTCTGAGATTGAACATAAAGTACCTCATACACAACTGATCAGGGCTCGAATTAAGCGACGAGAAGGGCAAGGCAATTTTCTTAGGGCATGTGAGAAATCGCCTTAAATTTTCTTTAAAATGGAAGGGCAGAGGCAATTTTAAAAGGCACCAAGGCAACTCTCAAAATTTGAGAAGGGCACCAAGGCACTTTTGTAAAATAAAGGAAAACTCATAACAAATTAGTACATCAATATCGTCTTGCTTTTAATGTACAAAACAATATGCCCCCATGTAAGCTTACACCGTAACACCGACCCCTTTCCCCCCTCTGCTAATTGAAGTACAGTAACAATTTTACATGCCCGCTAACAGGAGCGAATAATTATCCGATGCTGTTATTATTCCCTCCTGCGACTATCGGTTTCAAGCTCATCATTGCAACTACAGCACGCACGCGTAAGTGTTATGTTGACTCGACTAAAAACGAAACTAGGGCAGTAGATTAAAGGGCACCGACGGCAATTACACAAAAGGGCAAGGCAGGTGACTGCCGTCGGTCGGGTTGGATTTTCAGGGGCAGTACGGCAATTGATAGGGGCACCGACGGCAATTGCCGTCGGTGCCGTCGGTTAAATCGAGCCCTGCAACTGATCCTGAACTGTCACTGAGAGTTTACTCACTTGGGCATTGCTTCTTTGTTGCTCATGTAGGTGCTGTATTCTTCCTGGGTGTCAAAGTCCCAACGGCCAATCGGTCCCTTCTTGTTACCGAGATCCATCTTACTGTAGTCTGTCTCATCGTCACTGTCATCCATTGCATCTGCCATCTCTGCAAAGCTGAGAAAGAGAAAACCTCCATATTTCCCATACTGCCCACCTGCATGCCTGTCTGCCTGAGTGTAGCTTAACAGGACTAATTGTGCAGCACTAGATCAGGAAATGTCTTACCTGAGATACATAATTAAAAAGATGTGATGGTACATTCTGAATCTTTTATCATGATTACGGGGTATCAGACTGTCTTAGAAATGCCATGACAGTACTTAATGAGTAAGACTTACCCAGGGTAACATTCCACATAACTGTCAGGAATCTGATTATCCTTTGCCTTCTTCTTCGTAATAGAGTTAGGGTCTTCCTTCTCTGCCTTCTCCATAGCTGGAGGCTCAAACTAGAAAAAAACATCAGGGTTGGTCTGAATACTTCCTACATGTACCCAGACTCTGTATAGTGTGAGTTACCTAACATACAACATGACCAAGCTTAAAATTTAGATGAAATCTTCCCATGCCGTGTTTTTACTGTTTGTGCCTTCGTGCAACATATGGGAGATAGTTCTGTACCTCTATACACTGCGTAGGATTCTTACTTATGCAGATGATGTGGTATTGTGGAACACAAGGTGAAGTAGTTGCAGCAGACGTTGTGGTTGCTAGTATGTAGAGCAGTTAATGTTAGACGATAATGTTTCACTGCCTACGAACCCGCGAGAACTTCTGGTTGATGTCTTTAACGATGTCAATGACTTCGTGCATCCTCTCACGGTCCTTGTCTCGCGGTCGCTCCCTTCCTCGATCCCGATCCTTCTCTCTCCGCTCTCCTACTCGTTCTCTACCCTTGTCCCGCTTGTCAGCATCCTGTCGTCACATAAATTAGCATGCCAGTGAATGTTCCAACAACGGACACCCTCTACCCTGGGCTATCTTCATAGACCGGTTCCCATTCCATAGCGGTGACCACATTTTAGAGGTACCCGTTCTATAAATGTCTCCATTCTGTAGAGCTTTAACAAGGGTTTGACTGTATATGGCAATCATTTGAAATTGAAGATAACTATTTTGTGATACATGTGGTGAATACCTCTTCATTAGCTTCATCGAAGTAAGAGGGTTTACTCTTCTTCTCTTTGTCACGGCTGTTTTTGCCAGCTCCAGGCTTGCCAGAAATGTAGTCGCCTGCCTCAGCATATATTTCATTGTCTGCTCCCGGCAGCTTCCCTTTGGGAGCATCAGCTTTTCCTAGGCAGCACAGCACAAATGCAATATTAAATTCACTTCTACTGTTATGGACTTACTTACGTTATATTACATACACGAAGTATTTAGTATCTTACAATGAATAACTACGAACAAAGTTACGAACTGCCACCATGCGCAAGGCAGCTAACTAAATTGTTATGAACCTGGAGACATGTAATGCACTTTATTATTTACATGTACCAGCTTTCTATTCTTGCCTCTTCACGGTGCAAAATATAATCCCTACAACTCAATTTGGAAGGTTATAAAATAACACATCTCTGTAACTAAGAAAAACAAGATAGATGTATCATACCTTTTTCTTTCTTCTTCTTCCTCCTCTCACCTGACCTTAGGTAAGATAGCACTTGTGTCAACTTTTGTATGACGATGTCATTCGTAGACAATGTTGTTTGTGACTGAAAGAACACACATGATTACTAAACCTTAGGATTAACATGCCTTTATATTCATTAGATAGCTGTCTGTCATATATGTAATTTATTAGGAGGGCACGGAGGCAAATCAGGCAGATCACCCATAACAACCGCATATTTCTCCACTGCATGCTACTCCATTAGCATCCTCGGTTCGTCACTTGGGTAGGAACATACAGGCCACACATATCTTCTCTACTACTTGTATTGCTACGTGATCAGAGTGTTGTTTATAGGCTTGTTGCCAGTTAAAATTCTGATCAAATTTTTAGCATGGTTGTTGATAAACAACATTGAAAAGTCTAGTTTTTAAGGTTACCAGCGGAGAAATTAGAAAAACTAATATGAATTTGCAGTAAGGGTATATATACGTATAAACGACACAATGTGTCAGTTATTCTACTAATCCGTAATAATCAACAGTGCTGATTAGATAGACAATATGGCTTAAGTAAGAAAAGCAAACAACCGTATTTATCTATGCCATGGTGAAATTAAAGGATAGAGTAACATGTAGCAGAAGTTCTTAGCACCATGCTAAGACAATTTATCTCACCTCCACACTAGGGCAATCTGCCTTGCTGCGAATCGTTGTCGTGGGAACATCAGAGTCAGCAAAATCATCATCCAGTTCTATGACATATGCCATCCTACGCGGCAGGAACAACTCGTTACGTTCCGGTGCCTTGTTCCTGAACAACACCCGGTAGATGTTTTTACCTGAAAAACAAATGACAGTTCAGCGATGAACCATCACACGTCAGTTATTGCTCAATTAAGGAGGATATAAATAACAAGAGCAATCAGAGATAGCAAACCTCCGCCACAGCATAACAGTCACCCCCCCCCCCATCTTGCTGGTACACCCAATATAGTTGTTTCTACTCTATGACTATTGTTGTTTGACTCTGCATTGACACCATGCATGGCGCATATATATATATAGCTATCGATCTAATTTGTAGTCGGGTTTAAAGTGGTGGTGACACATCATAAACCCCTACAGAGAGAGAAAGCGAAAGCAAAACGAAGCGAAGCAGTTAGAGAGTAAACCACTACAATACGATCAATGATGAGAAATCCTTCAAAAAATTCCTGGATCCAGATCACCACCAAAATCTAATCGATTAGTTGTTGGCACAAGACCAACCCAAAAATTTCATCAAAATCCGTCCATAACTTTTTGAGATATCCTGTTGACAGACAAACCAACAAACAAACTAACAGGGGCGAAAACATAACCTCCTTGGTGGAGGTAACTATGAAGGACTACATTTCATGTATGATGTATTATAAAAACAGTTGTCCATATTGATTACAGACCTAATTTGCTTTTGAAGTTGATTTTCTCTTCCTCCTCCTGTTCAGCCTTGGCTTTAGCTGCAGCCGCTGCTTTGTCTCTATAACAACAACGACAGATCCGTACAATCAGCATTGCGAATTTTACCAGCAGGAACAATCTGTGCCAGAAGCAGGTTATTTAAGTCCTTATACATTCTGAATGGTTTAACTTAAAGCAGCTGTTAGACGTTATATCATATGTTAGGTCATATGTGTCACTCACGTGGCTTATGAACTTATTAGGTACTAGTAAATAATTAATCTGGGTTTCGTTCCTGATAATTCTTCTTGTTTAACAAATTGTTGCAGCGTTTGGCCCTGTTTCTTGCTTATCTGAAACTTGAGATTCAGCTGTCACTTCGGCTACTGCTGCTACTGAGTTTGGGACTTTAACAGTTTTATTTATGTTGAAAGGCTTACATGTCTTTCTTTGTCTTGTTCATGAGGGCATGCTCCATCAACTCCTCCTGTTCCTGCTCCTTCAGCACTATCTCACTCCTTACCTACAGCAGTCAGCATAGAGTGAACATAAACAACATCACATTCATACTGTTAGTTTACACTAGCAACATGCCAAATCCATGGCAATTGTGATATTCACAGTTTTCTATGAATTAACAACAGCCGCACAGCGTCTGGGCTCATCTGGGGTCTGTTGCTACGGTTATGAACGTACAATTTCAGTCGTGCGTAGTGACACATTTGTTAGGCGCAGATATGCAGATACGCAGTTGCGTACACATCATTGTTAGGACACGCTCACTATCTCCCCCCATGCGATTTTGGTTTATTTTAATAAATGATACTTGCCTTTCACTTCGAATTTGTGTCATAGATTCACAGCTATCTATTTTTATCTATCTATAAAAGATTTCAACATATGAGCATGGATCTCCAAGTTTAATTAGAGGGGGCGGGGAGTCCTTCTCTATCACCTCCCTCCCCCTGCCTCCCACGTCACTCCTCTTGCCTCTCACTTCCACCCCCTTACCTCCCATCTCCCTCCCCCTGCCTC